AAAAAATTCTACTTCTCTACAAAATTTATATGTAAATTTGACATCAGCAAAGTGCTTTGAAATTGAAAGTGCTTTCTAATGGCTACAGAACTAATCATGATTTTTGTAACTACCATTTCTATGATCACACATTTGCAAAGATATTAGCATTTTCCGCACTACCTGGCTGAATAAAAGGCTTAATTTATTTAACCGGTCATTTTATTTAACTTATTTGCTCGGGTGGTTAATGTTTATAAGTATTGTCTAGCTACCTAACATCCATGAACACATGATAAGAAAATGGTTATTATACATACCTGGGCGTGATTGTATCTGTTCTTGACTGGGACACTTTGAACACTTCCCATCCAAACTATTGACCACAAATGTCAGATTTGCCACTTTGCTGTCAACGTAATTTTCTACGTTGTTCATGTTTACAAGATTCAGCTTCTCCAGGCGACCCTGAAGCACGTCGATCTCCTGCTTCGCGTTCTTCAGGTCAGAGGACAGCTTGTTCACCTCGCTCTCCAACTCTGTAACTCTGTTGTCATCCGCCTCTCCCGGGTCTCCCGTGCCCGGTGACAACAGTCCGCTTCTGCCCGGGTCTCGGTTGTCATCCGCCTGCAGTTTGCTGTCTTGGCAACATTTCTTAAGGCTGCTAACGATTTCCTTGAGGTTCTGGACTTCTTTGAACACCTCCTCCATCCTGCCGAACTGCTTGGGGAGCTGAATCGTCAGCGGGGGCAGGTACACCTGGTAGGGGCATTCGCCTCCCTGCTCGCATTTCCCTCTGCTCTCTAGCCTCACCGGGCAGGCGTCCTTGGCCGTTTCGTCTTTAATTTCTTCTGTGTCATTGTTTGCCGCAACCAAACAACTGTAAGCAGCCAGGACAGCCGAGCTGAGGCAGCACCAGGTGGCCAGCTTCATCTCCGCGGCGGCGCGCACCCCAGCAGGGAAGTGTGGAAGCGTGCTGGGCTGGAGCTGTTTTAACAGCCGCAGCTGCCGGCCTGACTCAGGCTTTCTGTTGTCAGAAAAGGGCGGGAGCACTTGCATCACAAGTTTCAAGAAACGAGGAGTTGCCCTCAGCCAACTCAGTTTGCCAAAAACTGTTCCTTATTCCCAATCAGAAGTACGCTCATCGGGATTACTATGAGTTGGTTGGATGCACATA